TGGCTAATTAAATTACATTGTTTTGATTAAATGTGTCTAATAATCAGATTTTCCAATTGATACTGTTTTGTATTGTTTTTATATTTTCAGGTGATTTAGATATGGTTAGACTTGTTTGGAGTGAAACTAAGTGAATAAGCAGAGGAAAGGAGTTGAACTGGAAGGCAAATAATCATAGATAGAAAATATGATCCTAGACAAAAATATTCATGCGTCTGAACGCTTGAAGCCCATCCAGATGCAGCCTAGCAACTGGAAATGTGAAAGAAGAATTAAAGATGCCTTGGACAGAAAGTTACTTGCATCCAAATGAGTGAGCCATAGCCAGAAGCGTGTGTTTTTAGCCTTATCAATTTTGGGTAATACGAGTCTTAGTAGGGTTAAATGGGTCTAATTAGGGTTGAACTAGCCCTTTGTATAAATATATCCTCTCTTATTGAAAGCGTGAGTTTTTCTTAGCAACTTTCTTTATTATTTTTTGATTTTTTTTCATCACAATTCTTGACCGAGTTGATCATGAATTGTAAGTACTTTCGTTGCACTCTTTAGTTAGGGTTGATGGATTTGTAAGTATTTATTCAGATATTTTTATTTATGTAATTATATTATAATTCAATTGATTGAATGTGTTTAGTACAATTCAATACTTTGTGTAATTCTTTTACTATTTATCAACAAGTTAGATCTTAGTATAAACAATGCTTATGATTTCTTGTAAGTATTTAAACTAGATCTTCAATCCATATTTTCAATCATCAATTCAATTGTTCTTCAAATAAATATTTCTTGGTTAACTACACTTACGTTGGAAATTAACTAAGTAGTCTGATATTGCATAAATATAATATTCAAAAAATAAAAGTAAATCCAGATCCTGAAAATAAAGAGTTTTCAAAAAACCTATTCTTCCTTCATATTGTTGTTCAAGTCATCGGTTCCTTGTGGATACAATCTAGAAATTCTGAGTAGTAAACTTGACCACCTACAATTGGGTGTACCTTTGAGATTCAAGCAAATTTTTGGCGTTGTTATCGGGTAGTGAAATCAATTGGGAAGAGTAGGAGAAGGAATCCACCTTCACAAGTCGATTTACTTGGAGACACTTTTGGGTAAATTTGTAATTATAATTTATTTTATTCATGCAATTTTGTACTTTTTTTATTTAGAGTAGTTTTCAATTTTTTTATTAGTGCATGTCTAGTGAGGAAACCAGTAGTCCCCAACGAGACAAGACAAAGAGTTCATAGGTTTTGCAGGTCCATCGTGTCCTTCCGGGTATCAGTCCCTTGCCTTCCCTACATTTTACCTTAGTAGAGTCGATAGTTCAATGGGTTATTGAGAAGAAGAAGTTGATGGTCAACAAGGTAGAATACTTAGGGATTATCGACACCCATCCACAATAGTATTTCTTTATGTTTCATACTTCTAGAGAATGCTCAAAATTTCAACATCAAACCTAGTTTTATCCAGTTGTTACATCAATTCCATGGACTAGAGTCCAAAAAAATGTACCCACACATCAAAGAGTTTGAGGAGGAGCGTGGTACATTTAAAATACATTTCAAGATCATTCTGAGATACCTCGTTAGAATTTTTTTCCTTTCTCACTAAAGAGTGATACTAGATGTGGCTTAATTCCTTGGAATTGCAGTCTATAGCCTAGTGGTTTGATCTTCAAAAAGAATTTTTATTTTTTTAAATTTCTTCCTTCTTCATAGCACCAATGCCCTAAAGTGTCAAAGTAATCTAGATTTACTAGAAGAAAAGAGGGAAAAAAATCACAAGTAAGAACTGCACCATACCAACACACAATGACTAGATACTATAACTTTAGGTTTAGGCCACGTATATTCCTCCCAAACGATTTGATCTTGAGGAAAGTAACCCCAGCTACAAAAGATGCCAAGGACGGGAATTTGGGGACAACATGAGAAGGGCCATACCTAGTCGTAAAGACCTTGAGGCCTGTAACGTATCACCTAGAGACTTTAGGTGGAGTCAAGCTAGCTCACCCTAGAGCGTGGAACACTTTAAGAATTTCTACCATAAAGTATGCTTTTCCTTTGATTGTAAAAAGGCTTTCTTAGCCTCTTAGCTAGAATTAATAAACATGTCATTTTTTAACAAGAAAAATTGTAAGTCTTAAAATCTTTTTGGTTCTGCATCAAAATGGAATCCACTCTTGTTTGATTGGATTAAAGAAACTAGAAAACCATGTCACCTAGCTTGGATTGAACCTAAGAGGTTTATTAAAAGCTCAAGGCCACTTGCCTAGCTTGGATTGAACCTGAGAGGTTCATTAGCTTCTTAAGGCACCTCGCCTAGCTCAGATTGAACCTAAGAGGTTCATTAATAGCTTAAGGCACCTAGCCTAGCTCAAATTGAACCTAAGAGGTTTAATAGTTGTTTAAGGCACCTTGCCTAGCTTGGATTGAACCCTAGAGGCTCATTGAATGTAAAATCCGGGTAAATTTGAATTTTTGTGAAAAAAGACAAAATGATAATTTACCACTACGGTTTGGTTGAAAACCTTATTTTTTTTAGAACTTGGATGACCAAATGGACCTCACCGTTGGATTTGTCTCGCGAAATCTAGCTACCCAGTCAATTTTTGTTGAATTCTGAGACAGTCAAATTTTTTGTGTTTTACGAGGCAATCGAGTGTCGCGTGACCTAAAAACGAGATTTAAAATAAATTTTTAATAGTTGAAAAATAATTTAAATAAATTTTATATAAATATTTTAAACTTGAACTAGAACGAAATTTTTTTGTTTCAGGATGAAATCGGATTTGGGAATGGAGAACGTGTGTGGCGCGATAAGGAACAAACGTTTAAAGGGTATAAATAGGGGAAAAAAATTAGATTTCTCCGCATACCCATCAGATTATCTAAAAAATCAAAAGAAGAGAGGGAAACTTCACATTCTCTCTACATTGCCCGAATCGACTCAAGCCAAAAATAAAAGTTGTTTTCTTCGTCGAGGGCTACAAAACCATACAAAGAAGGCAGGATTAGAGTGAAATTACAAGGACGGATTTTGGGGAAAGCTTGGATTAGAGCTTTTTTTGGGTTCTTGGAGCTTCCTACCATTGTTTTACGCTTCAAGAGGTAGGGGTCTTTCCCTAATTAGGTTTATTTTCAACCTAGGGTTCCATATGATATGAGTAACAAGACTTGAGATGAATTCTCTTGTTTAATGTACTCCTAGTGTAAATAAAGTGTGGGAAATGGGTATAGAAATATGCTAAACCAATGTTGCATGAATTGAGTTTGTAGAATGTAGATGTTTGGTAAATTCATGAAAAATATAGGTACTTGAAATGTGGGAAATGGGTATTAAGAATGATTAAAATTAATTCTAGCATGAATTGGGTATGTAGAAATTACTTGTGATTCCTTGAGAAATTGAGCATATTATGTATTTATATGATTTGGTGCCTTGAAGGTGTTTAATTAAATGTCTATGTGAATTAAGTGTGTCATTTGCATTGATTATATTATAACATGCTTGGAATTTGTTATTGGAAAATGTTGATATATGCATATGGTATATTGACATTGAGGTTATTTTTGGTGGTCATATGTTTATGATGTAATTTACCATGGAAAAATTTGTTGGATATTGAATTCTTCAAAATGTTCTCATGACATATTGAACACAGTAGTGTTATTGCAATTGAGATCCTAGTTGCATAATGACATGAAATGCAACTGTATATTTATATTGCATATGCACGGGTAACATTAAATTCGTGGGCGTTTGACATGAGTGTGGATGTATGTGCATGGTTTGATCAAACACCCTTTGTGAATGATACGTGGGCTCGGGATTTTCAATTGAGTTGCATGGTTTGCACTAAAAAAATAGGGTCAGGGTTAGTAATAAGGGCTAGATTCTTCCTCCGGTACAAAACCCGGTGATTCAGATGAGCACTTCGTTGGTATTGAGTACATAAAGTGTGTTGGCATACGTAGAGTCATTGGTGGAAGTCCATTAATGTTGTGTTGGTTGAGTGTCCATTGGTGTAAGTCCATAAATACCCACCCCAAGGAAGATCTGGGATTTAAAAAGGTCATTGGATGTATAACATCAATGACAGTGGCTTGGAATGACCAAATTCATATGCATGGCATTGCATGTGTTGAGGGAGTCGGTAAAGTTTCGGGTTGAGTTGCATGTGTGAGTCTCATCTAATATCATGCATGACATTGAGGATTTCATTGTTGAATTGCATATTCTTGAATGGAGTAATTGTTTCTTGTGAATTGCATGTGAGTATTTCATATGCATCTAAGTTGGGGAGTAGACACTTTAGGAGATATCTTTTTGAGCGTGACTCACCCTTTATGGGGACAATATTTCATGTGTGGAACATGCACCAGTGGACAGTTCTCATTCGGGCCCTCATTGATGAAGAAAAGTCAAAATGTGGCTTTTAACCAATACTTTTGTAAAACTAAGATGTCAATTAGTTTTTGGGCACGTAATGTATGTAAAGGATTGTAATCAAATTCATATGGACTATTTTTAATGTAAAATTTCATGTTGTTAAATGAGTATGGATAAATAGACCCGATGTGGTCAATATTGTATGATTGCACTAGTTGTGTTTAGGGTAGAGCTCCCTGTACAAAGGAGACTCTACAAGAATTTTGTTAAATTATGGATCCCAGTAAATAGGGCATACGGTGTGGTATCGAGTTATACGGTATTCACGGGTATTATGCGGGTTGATTGATGATCAACAGGGTAATTACGAACACCCGCATTTTGGGGCGTCACATTGGAAGCTCAAGGTCTTGCTAGTTGTACCAAAAATGTTCACTAGAAGCTCAAATATATGCAAATTGTTCCTAACAAGGAAAAGAAGTAGGGAGAGATAACTTGATTTAACATCAAAAGTACTTGCTAAAAAAGAAAGAAGAAGGAAATTATAGTCGTAAAAGAAAAAGAAAAGAAAAACCAGTCTACTTTCTCAACTGGAAGGCGCTCCTCTACTAAGTCCTTCGTATGGCCTTTCGTCTCAACCCTAGAATTGATCTGGTCTTCAAGATCCACAACAGTTGTGCTAGTGGCCTCATTACCAGCCTCCTCTTCATTCTCTCCTTCCTTCTTAATGATTGAGGTAGGATCATCCTGAAATTGGATTCTTGAGAAGTTAAGCTTGGAAATGCAAGCATGCCTCTAGTTTTTAAGTCCTCAAAGCCGTTATTATAATACTCGAGCATCTCCTTCTTAAAATCAAAAGAGTGTTTGTATTCCTTCACTTTTGCCATAGTAGTAACCTTAACAGCCTCGGCAAGCTCAAACTCTTTCTTTTCTTGAACATTGGAGAGCTTGGAATCCTTCTTCTTCAAAGCAAAAGAGAGCTCGGAGACTTTGAGGGAAAGTGCCTCTTTCTCCTCTACTGCCTTCTTTACCTGGGAATAAAGGTCCGAAATGGCACTTTCAGAAGTAGCGAGCTTCAAATCCTTCTTGCTGTCCAAAAACTTGTTCCTATCCTCCATTGCCTCATTTGAAATAAGTGTTATCTTCTATTCTCCTTTAGCTCTTAGAGGACCTTTTCTTGGGAAGCCACTAAGTCGTTCTGTAGCTTCAATATCTTCTCCTCAAATTGAAGGAATTCTTCTACACAAGACTTCCTCTCAGCCATAGCTATATAAGAGAAGCTAGTGCAAAGGATGGCCAACTGCAAAGAATAAAGAGAAGATTAGCATCCTATTTCTATGAGAGGCTATGTAAAGAGGAAAGAACAGTCATAACCCACTCAGGCCCCATTTTGAAGATAGCCCAAACTTCCCTATCGTCAACAAATCTAAGGAGATGAACTCTGGCCTCCTCTTCGATCCCCCACATCAAAGGCCTAGACTCTTTAGAGGTCTGTTTCTCTGCAGTCTTAGTTTTTGAAAGTTTTCTCTTCCCCTTATCTTTGGAAGGAGTAGGAAGAGAGTCGACAAGCAGCAAAGGTATCTTGGGTATAGGTGAGTCTTCCTTATAGATGATGGCAAGGCCCAACCCTTTATTAGATGGGATGCCAGAGCTCAGAAGAGTAACAAGAGGGGTTAGAGGGCTGGAGGCTAGAGGTTACAGCCTTCGGCTTAGAAGAAGCTAGCCTTGGATTTTTGTGACAAGGGGAACCCTTCCTAGCTCTCTAGTTGATTTAATCTCCTTTTAATAGTTTTTTGTCAACAACTATGGGAGCCGTATTTGTAGGAATACATAAGTCAGAGCTCAAATTTAAAGAAAAAAAAAAGAAAGAACAAAATATAAGTTTACTACTTAGATGAGAAGGACTATGTGTAAAGGGCACGACAATAGCTTTGGGGGTAGGACCTAGCTAGCACTCGAACAAGGCTTGATCGGTGACTAGGTCAGGCAAGCTCTTGGTACAGTAAGCTAAAGCTCTCTTAACTCAAAGCTTGAGTTCAGTAGGAAGAGGACCAAAGTTGCCTTTACCAAATAAATACATTAAGACAGAGTCACCAAGTGAAGAAATAAAGAAAAGAAAATAGTAACTCACGAAGAGAGGGGGTGGAGATCCCCCCATGCAAGAAACCAAAAGAGGTATGCTAGAGAGTGCCTCAGCATGGTTGAACTTCCAACTAGGCCTGGACATAAAGAAAATTTTGTCCTTCCATTCCTTCACATCAGAGAAATAGCTGGTAAGGAGCTTGTTCTTCTCTCTTTTGAAAAGTTAGAACCACCCTTTGCTCTACCCAGAGCAGGTTATAAGTTTGTAGCAATGGAGAAGTTCTACTATGGTAAGGCGAGTGCCCACACCATTGGCTCTTGCCCAAAAAATGCCAATACCAACTAGAAACCCCAAGTTATTCGGATTTAACTTAGAAGGGACAAGATTTATATAGTGGAGGGCTTCTTTGATATACTTAGGCATAGGTAATCAGAGACCACTTTCAAAAAGTGACTCGTAAAAGCAAACTTTGTTGGGCCCAAAGGAATCAACGGTTTCCTCTAAGGAAGGAAGACACTGGTGAACAAAGTCGAGGATCTAATAGACCTCCCTAATTTCATTCAAGTTTTTTTGTCAAGAGAACTCTAAAATTACTTCGCTCCCACAACAGTAATAGATTAAGAAGAAATGTCCATAATGGAGTCAAGAACAAATGATGGAGAATTTTCAAGAAGAGTTTTCTCCAAATCACTCTTAGTTGTAAAATAATAGTGGTTGATGCACATATTAGAAGGAAGACAAGTGTAGCTATAAGAAAGAAGAGACAATAAGAAATCAGAGATGGATTTGAGTCAAGTTTGGGAGGGTTGATTGACATAAAGGTTGAGGTGATCAAGGTCATAACATTTCCACTCAAGAAAAGAGAAAAGGTAATGGAATAGAAAAAGGTGGCTCCAACCTATACACTCTAGCTTGTAAAAGAAATCAAAGATCAAGGGAGAGGGAGAGGCATACTTGGGCTCTTGGACAAGTTCTTGAAACGTATTGGACTCTGATTGTAAGATGTGTTTAAACACTAGCCACACAATGGATTTTTAGTGATTACATCTGCATGAACTACATCGCCACTTTCCCAAGCACTAACGGATTGAAGCATTAAATGCGGACCAAGTAATGTAATGTTGAATTAAACTGGGGGCAACACATGGCTGGAAAAAAGGCACATGCTCGAATTGTCAACCTCCATAACTCGGATTAGTTCTAGCTCGCAAGCTACCTAGTCCTCTAGCTTGGTATAGTCCAAACCTATAAGCACTTTGACTAGTGCAACTCAACCACTACCTCTACTTAGCCAGTCAGACAAGGTCAAAGCATGTAAAGCGTAACTATCTCAGTTCAAATAGGTGGAGGATGATGAGTTAGATA